TTTGGATGACTTGAATCAGTCAGAAAGAGTTTTGGAGGAAAGAAAGAGGTTTTGGATGAAAGGAAAGGTGTTTGAACTTACAGAAAGGCTGTTCTAGGGGTCCACAAACAGCCAGAAGGAAGGTGGTGGTGTTGTTGTTGTTGGAGGGTTGACGGAAGAAGAAGAAGGTTGATATTTGGAAATCGGTTTCGGCAACAGAGCCCACCAAATTGTTGGAACAAGTATATAGGAGTGCCAAATAGAGAGGAGGGCTGATGGTAGAAGCGTATTATTGGAAGCGTACGTCCCAGGTGCAATGAATGAACGTTTTTGGAGAAGTAGGGACCATATATATCTCCTCTGCCTCAATTTGTGGTAACGTAACTATTCGTCGGAACAAGGTTTGGGCGAATAGTGGGAGGTTAAGAACCATATCCCAAGATCCCTTCTAAACCAACTCTTCTATAAGTATGAAGACCTTGGGCAATTGGTCTAGGTCAGGAGCATATGTAAACAAACCAATTATCCGACCAAACGTAGTAGATGTGGTTACTACTATGTCGCCCTGCCTTAAAGTGCGCCGCCGGGAACTCTCTGTAATTGAATATGACAATTGTTGATACCAGCGGAAACGTGTACTTCAGCATCACTCTGTGGTGGCCATGTTTGGTAAGTATCTCCTCAAATAAGTTCGAGAATGATTTAGTAAACAGTCGAGCTTTAACTGGAAGTCCCTGTAAACCACACTCAGTTCTTGATAGCTCACCTTGGACCCGGACATCAATATGAGAGCCACTAGCCTCTACATTACCGTGTACACATAAGTCTGAGGTTAAGGCACGCCTATCAGCAACTGTTAGTAGAGATTCAAACACTGCTGGGCAATTATCCTTAATCCTTATAACCTGGGCAGAGGTCTCTGTACATGTATGGAGGAAGGCACCACACAGGGTAGACCTGAGGGTTGTAAATATACACTCTTGGATAAGTAGATCCCGTTCAGGCCATCTGTGGTTTGTCCGTATAACTGCTTCCTTGAAGAATTTGTGCTTGTCTTCGCCCCAGAACACGTTTGTATTCCATACACTTCCATACTCCTCCATCATTTGGTGGAAGTGAAGGGCGATATGGAAATTAGGAAGCCGGCCTGCATGACCAATAACACTAGCATTACCTTGGGTAGGGTTGACTTGATCATCAGTACTAGTTTCAACCTCAGATCCACTTTGGCTAAAGGTAGCATAGGACTGTAGGGCGGCCGATGCAACGCCAGGCCCTATATTGCTAGCGGTTTGCCTGCTTTCTAAGGTGCCTGACGACTTCGCCGCTGCCTTCATAAGACAAAGGAATTACTTCTTGCAATGTGCCCAAATGCACCCACAATAAAATCAACATCCGTTTTATTATGTATAGGCCGGGCTGTCACTGGACATTCACGGGCTAGAGCCGACGGGAACGTGTGCCGTACATGTATTGTTTTCAGCCAGCGGTGAAGTATTAATGGTACGATAATGGATGCCTTCCCACATTCGCTCATTGACCACGACCGTATGTGTTTTTCTGGGGACTGTATTCGACTCCAGCCAGGGGGGAAGGTAAATTTCTGGAACTGTTGGGTGGACTCAATCTGGGCAGCTGGGGTTAGTAACGGACCATATAATATTGGGTAAAGCCTCCGAATGATACCAAGGAACTCACTATGAGCTGGATCTGGGGGGCGGCTCATAACAATGTCAAGAGATGGGATGACCGTCTGCAACGCAGATGGTTGGTCAGCTAATCCATGTTGGCGACCAAATTGTAGTCGGGTAGACTTCGAGGTAAGCTCATCTAGTGTGCGTCATGGGTAACCGGTGGTTGCAAACCGCCAGTCTGAAGATTTTCCAACCCAGACCACGGTCTGGGGGAAATACTGAAGAAACCGCCCAGACTGACGTGGGCACCCAGCGGTTCCTTGGCAACCCATCACGTGTGATGAATTGTCACACGTGATGGGTTGCCACAAATACAATCAATACTATAGTTATTACTATACAGTTACAATAACGCCATAAAAATGATGAAAGCAAATTAGTGCTAGCTATCCAAGCTATGCAAAGCGACCCAAATTTGCGCCTTCGAGTTGCAGCTAGGATCTATTCCGTAGACCACCGCAAGCTACGTCACCGTTTACAAGGCGTACCTTCACGACGCGATATCCAAGCCAACTTACGGAAATTAAGTAACCTAGAGGAATCAGTTCTTGTTCAGTATATACTTGACTTAGCTGCTAAAGGGTTCCCTCCTCAGTTGTCTATTGTTGAAGATATGGCAAATCGACTACTTGCAACACGCGACGCGCCATGCGTCGGGTCACGTTGGGCTTCAAACTTTGTTAAGCGCCATGTAGAGCTCCGGACACGCTTCCATCAAAAATACGACTACCCCAGGGCTAAGTGCAAAGATCCAGAAGTCATTCGTGGCTGGTTTGAGCTTGTATGGAACACAATTCTAAAGTATGGTATCAACAATGCAGATATCTACAACTTTGATGAGACTGGGTTTATGATGGGCGTCATCTCAAGCGCAACGGTAGTAACGAGCTCAGATGGGTGGGCAAAGGCAAAAAAGGTGCAGCCTGGCAATCGGGAATGGGTTACAGTAATCCAAGGTGTTAGTTCTCAAGGTTGGGCAGTGCCGCCATTTGTCATTGTGGCAGGTAAAAACCACCTTGCATCTTGGTATGAGAATAGCGGATTTCCAGCAGATTGGGTAATCGCTGTTACTGCAAATGGCTGGACTACAAACGAGAGAGGTATGGATTGGATTCAGCATTTTGAGAAGCACACAAAGCCCCGGAGTGTTGGTGGTTATCGCTTGTTAGTCCTTGATGGTCATGAGAGCCACCACTCAGACAAGTTTGAGGAGTACTGCAAAGAACACAACATTATTACGCTTTGTATGCCTGCTCACTCTTCCCATATACTCCAACCACTTGATGTTGGCTGTTTTGGCCCATTAAAGAGAGCTTACAGTCGGCAAATTGAAGATATGATGCGGGCTCATATTATTCACATTACTAAGGATGACTTCTTTCCTGCCTTCCACGCTGCATTTAACATTGCAATGACAGAAAGCAATATTCAGGGAGGGTTCCGAGGTGCTGGGCTTCTTCCATTTAGCCCTGAGAGTGTAATATCTACACTTGACCTTAGGTTTAAGACGCCAACACCTCCAACCTCTCGCCCAAACACCGCTCAACCATGGGTTTCTCAGACACCAAATAACCCAACTGAAGCTGTATCACAGTCTACTTTCATTAAAAACCGAATTGCGCATCATCAAAATAGCTCTCCAACCTCAATCTATGCAGCTGTTGACCAGTTTACAAAGGGTGCATTGCAAATAATGCATCAATTAGCATTGTTAAAAGCAGAGAACCAAAACCTGCGACAGGCAAATGAAGTGCTAAGCAAGCGCCGGAGAGCTAAAAAAACACAACTACAGCAAGGAGGATCACTTAGTCAACAGGTAGCACAGGAGCTACAGGACGAGAGGGACATTGTGCAGCAAGTAGAGCAAGAAATAAGGGCAAGTAGTGGTCGGAAGCCAAGGGAAGAAACCCATGCACGTCGCTGTGGCAAGTGTGGTGAGACTGGACACAATGCGCGCACTTGTCAGATTGTAATAGACAGGTCTGAGGAAGAGGACTCCGAGTAGTTTTAATTAATTTATATTGTTGTGGTGGATTTATCACAATTCTTATGGGGTAGTCGCGATATTTTGGCACTTTCGCTTGTTTGGCACTTTCGTTATACATGCATGTTATAGTATATAAATTTAATACAATATTTTTTATGTAAATTATTTAACTCTGTTATATGTGTATTGGATTTTTTAACTCTAACAGTAGCCTCTTATGTGGGCTTCTATTTTATTACTACTATTAATACTATTTCAGTATGTATATTATGTCAGAAGCGTCTTCCTATAGGAATACTTATTGGCTGTCAGAATATCACCTTCCGGAAATACTACTAGTATCAGCTTAGCGTCAAAATATCATACCACTAAGCCCTTTTGTAGCCAAATTATTGGCTACGTAAGACAGTGTGGGTCACTCTATGACCCTTTTATATGATTAATCCTATCCAATGGTCACGAAAAAAGGCCCAGCCCCCCTAAGGTATGTAACGTATACTTGGCTTTACCGATAATCCATACAGTGATCACGTGAGATCCTGTGACTATTACAACATATGCGCTATAGTATAGATTAGTCAGCATTCATGCTTCGTAAATTATTAAGTGAATTTGTGTGTAATTGACTGTCTAATCTAATCTGAATTTTCGGGTGGTGAAGTCACGATGAGATCATGTGACTAGAGTAGCATAGTACATGTTGTTGGACTCAAATTTTCTTCTGAAGCTATATAGTGATGCAGCTGATGCAGGAGCGACGGCGTTGTGTCGCCTAATCGGGGACATGGCAGTGAGAGGCTTATGTCTCAAGTAATTTGAAGAGTTGTAGTTAGATCAAGACAATTGCAGGGGTGTCGCTGGCATTTTATAGAGACTAGTTCCTCTAAAAACGGCCATTCTGGTGTTCCAAGCTTGGTTTCCACCTCCAATGGACCATGCTGAGGGTCCGCCCATGCTGATGTGCCCAATATAGTATAGTGCCACGTGCACTCAATGGAACCCCACTTAATGTCAAGGATCAGATAAAGGATGGGCCACTTGATCGTGTCCATCCTTTATCTGATGGCATCGATGGCCCGTCACCACCCGATGAACCTTCACGACCAGTGGTCTCAGTGAGCCCTCACCAGTTATACACTGAGTATCCTTGAAATTGTGAAATTGCAGCTGTTTCCCAGTTGGGAACGAGACTATTATTGTGATGTTACGTCATTATCGGTGAAGGTCATCGATTTCGCTCATCGACTGCACAGATGGAGTGGTTCGCCATCCAGGCCTGGCTATCCAACAACAAATAACCAAACTGCAGCCATGTATCTCATATTATGAACTCTTCTCTTTCAGCTGATCAATACATTATGTGCAATGCACATGACGCTATTGAAGCCATTCCTTACCATCGCCGCCCTTCTCTCCAAGCCGACATATAAGCCGTTAAACACACCATCTGTCCTTTTGCGATACATTTCCCCATCTTCACCACGCCGGACTGACTCATGTAGGCCTTCAGCCCGTTCAATCTCCCCATCATCAAACCATACTCCGTCCTCATCTCTAAACAACCCATGTCCGAGGTTGTAGAGTCCATGTTCCAAATGTGCAGTCTCCAGTATGAAATCCGAAACTGGTACAAATACCATATACTTCGGATACTTGATCGGCCCCATAGTTGTGACGGATGAACTTGCATGAATTTTCAAATTCGGAAAGTAACCGGTGTGATCGTCTATACATGTGTTGGCATCCACTGTTTGACACAATAGTGGTTGTGCGACGCATTTCACGCTCATCACGCAATGGGTAGGTGCAGCTATTGCAAAGTTAGCTCACACACTATACACAATTCGATTCTCTTTTGAGACGAGGTCATGCCATTGAATTAGAGTCCTGGAGACAAATAGTATCCCTTTACCAGCACATACAAACCGCCCTCTCTAACTACAACACGAATAGAACTTATATGACATGCCATGACCTAATGGGCCCCCGAAATTGCAACTGCTCCTTCCGCCACTTCACATTATCAGACGTTCAAAGCCACACAAGACCAGCAACGACAGCAACAACAGCTACAAAGCCAGAGCTCTGCTTCACCATGACACCCGCAGCCTCAATGGCTGCGACAGCCTGACAGGGGTGGCGGATGGAACGTACATGGTGCCTGGAGAGTCAGGGGTAGTTGGGTAGATTGGCGTATCTGGGCCAGGTATGGTCGGAGCAGGCTCCTCTGATGTCTCTCCAGTTGGGACAGGGCCATCTGTCTCCTCGGGATACCAGGTGGTGGTAAGAGTCAGGGTCTGTGTGATCACCGGTAGCACAGGCGGTTTTGTTGTGGCAAAAGTGTGAGGCTAGGGTGGTTAACTTGGAGGTTGTCACCTGTGCTCAACGTAGTGGGCTCAACAGTAGTTGCGGTCTCTGTTGGCTCCTCAGTTGTCGCAGTCTTGGTTGGCTCTTCAGAGGTGGTAGCAGACTTGGTTGGCCTTGCAGAGGTGGTCGAGGTGCTAGGGCTGTCTCCAACATTGCATTTGCACCAGTTCTCGAGCAGCTTTAATACCTCCACTTTGGAATCGCAGGCCTTAGCAACACAATCCACCGAACCTGTAACAATCTGGTTGAGGGTCTCTGGCTTGCAGGCACACTCTGGATCGCCATATTCACATTGATTGTAAGCTTCGGCATTCAAACAATCTACGCCACAACTTGGGATCTCTTTCTGTTCGGCATCGCGGGTAGATGTTGTCTCCGTTGGCTGGGGGTCGGCACTTGTTGTGGGCTTGATATTTCCAAGCCCACACTTGCAGAAATTTTCAAGCGGCTCGAAGACCGACCCAGCCTCGCCCTTGCAAGAATCAGCAACGTAGTCAGCCGACTCTCGTCGACAATTTTAGCAAAGATCTCTGCAGAACAGCTGCATGCGAAGTATTTGGACTCGCAGTGTTTCCAGGCGACGTTGTTCAGGCAGGATGAGGAACAAGTTGGTACTTTGGCGCCCAAGGCAGAGCAATCCTTTGCTACGGTGAGGCCACAAAAGTGGCGAGAGCGACAGGGAAGAGGAACTTCATAGTAGTGATTCGGCATGATTCACCCCGAATCAGATTCGATTCATGATCTGATTCAGGCTATTTCTTGATGATTCGAATCATGATTCAGCAAGTATTTGAATGATCTGAATACTTGCCAAGATGTCTAAGATGTCCAAGCATCTAGCCTTACTGTCATCCTCAATATATAGCTTTTTAGATTGACATTTATGTTGAAGTGTATGATATCACTTGCAGCGGTAGTATAAGTCATCAAGTTGAGTTGAACAACAGTTCACTAGAATATGTGTTATATTGTTGTTTTGAGTGAAGCTATCTACAGAACTATTTGTGGGTGGTCCGCAACCCGATTCGGTTGGCGAGCCACACGCCCAACACGCCCAACCAATCAGTCTGAGCAACCTCCTCCTTCAACAATTTAATACATTCAATCATTACAATTATCATCATTATGAGTGATTCCGAGTTGTCTGACGCCCCTGAGGATCTTGACGTCATGTTATTTATGAAGATAACAGTAATGATGGCGTATTCTCATCGTCTTCACCATCATTACCACAAAGCAGTACCACAACACTACACCTACCAGTCACTCATTCTGCTCTGTTTACAAAGAATCTATATTCTCGTACTATCTTAAGAGGCTCTCCTAATAAGATGCAATATGCTTGTACACAAGAAGGCTGTTCATATATGCCTGAAGCTAAACCAGTATCGCAAAATACAACAAGCAATTTATGGAGACATATTGAGCTAAAGCATCCAACTATCTTTGAAGCGTCTTCAAAATCTGCTCGAAAACTTTAGAATCAAGACAATATCGGCCCTCAGAACCGTGCATCTTTGTCTAGATTCTACAAGCCAAATCCTCATGGTACAACTCCAGTGTAACGCTGACTTCTAAACGATAGAAGATACAGAGGTTTCTTGCATAAGGTTGACTTGAAAGAGGAGGTAGGGGATTAAACACAAAGGCTTTCCAAGTAACATGTTACAGTATTGTAAAGAATACTATATTGAGTTGAGCATGAAGCTCCTATCTAAGGAAATACTATCTACTTATATAGTGGCGTCGTGCCCAAGTGTAAGGATGCCTCCGCAGTCGGGCAGGTTATGGTCACGTGGGAAGAGTTAGGGCAGGTTAGCCGAGTCAGACCCATTTCAGGTACTTAAGGGGATTGACCCAACGGGGTTCCTCATCATCTTTTTTGTATCCTTCGTAGTAGACCTATAGGATAGCATCTGTTTAGCCTCCGACTCGTACTCTCATATGCTATTACTGTGAGCTGGGTGCCCTGTGTCCTTACACCAAGGGATATCCGTGGATAACATGGATAACATAATATCCATGATATCCAATGTTATCCATCACCTGATATTCTGTGGATCCCCATGGATAACATGGATAACATAATATCCAAGATATCCAATGTTATCCATGACATGACATTCCTGTAATGCTGACTTCTAAACAATAGAAGACACAGAGGTTTCTTGCGTAAGGTTGACTTGACAGAGGAGGCAGGGGATTAGACACAAAGGCTTTCCAAGTAACAAGTTACAGTATTGTAAAGAATACTATATTGAGTTGAGCACGAAGCTCCTATCTAAGGAAATACTATCTACTTATATAGTGGCGTCGTGCCTCATGGGTAATCTGGATAGTTGGCGGATAGCTAGATATTCAGTATAGTTTGTGGATAGCTGAACTCTCCAATATCCACTAGTTTCTGCAAGTATCCATTAGCCCTGTCACATGGCAGCCTACCCTGCTTCCCACTGTGACTCACACGTCACGTTACTAGGCCCTGGCCCTGTAACCATGACATCATGTTACTGTAGCTGTAACAATTCCGTGGATCGCTGTGGATAACATGGATAACATAATATCCATGATATCCAATGTTATCCATCACGTGAGGTTGCAGCCGTAAGTGCTAGCCATAGCACTAGCACTTAGCCGTAACAGGCAGCTACAACTAGAACTACAGAATCATATTTTAAAGCAGGTGGGCGATTATACTTACAACTGATGCTTGGAGTGCTATAAATGGAACAGATCATGCTGCTGTTACCGTACACTGGATATCAAAATATTGGGTCCAACATTCAAAAATCCTAGATACTTGAACCTATTCATTCTGGCTAATACCTAGCTCAGCAATTACTCTCAGTTACAGATGATTTCAAAATTACACATGGAGTCTTTACTATCACAAGAGACAATGCGTCAAATAATGCAGCAATGCTCAACCAATACGAACGAAGAGCAGCAGATGCTCCAACAACAACAAATCAGCCATGGAGCTTTACTGTTAAAGATGGCGATGTATGATGTATGGCACATATTATAAATCTAGCTGTTCAAGCAGCTCTTATGACGATGAAAGCTGTACCATCAGAAGAGCTTGAGAGCTATCGAGTTCAAGAGGGTTTAGCTTATACTCAGATTAATTGTAATGGTGGGTGCACCAGAGGTGAGAATCTAGCCACCCAAGGAAGGGATGATTTTACTAAGACAACACACTGTCTTAGGAAAAAGAGCCAAAGGGTCGTAGCTTAGACTATTCTACAACGCAGCAATCAGGTGTATGATGTAGTGGAATGGTTTAGACAAGTTGTAACAAATGTTGAGTCTGAGAACTCAGGGATATTCAGAGGTTAGCACCTCACTGACTTTTCAGAAACAAGGAGTAACAAGATCAATGCTTGGAAGCTTGGAAAAGACGTGGAAGTAAGTGATAGTCAATTTACTGTATTGTCTGCTTGCCCTTTCTTAAGGAAAGGGCAATCCTATTTATGCTAAAGTGTAATGGTGGGTGCACCAGATATGAGAATCTAGCCACCCAAGGAAGGGATGAATTTACTAAGACAACACACTGTCTTAGGAAACAGAGCCAAAGGGTTGTAGCTTAGACTATTCCACAACGCAGCAATCAGGTGTATGATGTGGTGAAGTGGTTTAGACAAGTTGCAACAAATGTTGAGTCTGAGAACTCAGGGGTAAGTCAGAGGTTAGCACCTCACTGACTTTTCAAAAACAGAGAATAACAAGATCAATGCTTGGAAGCTTGGAAAAGACGTAGAAGTATGTGCTAGTCGATTTACTGTATTGCCTGCTTGCCCTTTCTTAAGGAAAGGGCAATCCTATTTATGCCAAAGGAGTGTAGTTCTCTCATTTTCCATGACTTTCCATGACTAACCAGGCTTGGTAAATGTATTAGAAATCAAGTGCAACCCACAACTAGCTTGCTAATCATGTAGTGAACGTAAGAGAATCCCATAGAACCATCTCTTGGGTTCCTAGCCTATAGGAAGTGAAAAGGAGGTCCAAGGTCAGAGTACCTATAGACAAATTATGTCATAACTTAACCAATCTTGTGGGTAACTAAGGAGCGATGACGTGTAATGAATCAGAGAGGGTTGTAGAAGCTTCTAGAGCTATCGTTCATGTTCCTAGGCCTCTAGTTGGTAGAGATATGCCATGTGGTAGTATTGGCCCACCCCCTTAAGGAGGAGATTTTCTTAATAACTTGTTCAATGAGTGTCCAAATGATATGCCGTGATGTATGTAGCATAAACAGATGTAGTAGAAGAGTTTGCAGCAATCGTTGAGTAGTATTGCTTCTGTTGTTGGTGTGATAAGCCAAGATATGTATGGTGACTTGTAGGTTTGAGGAGGAGATTTCTAAGTTTGCTCTTGAGTTTGATAGCAAACTGAGTGCAACGAATGTCAGTATGACATAAAGGAGTGTAGTTCTCTCATTTTCCAAGACTTTCCATGACTAACCAGGCTTGGTAACTGTAGTCGATGTAAGAGAATCCCATACCATCTCCTAGGTTTCTAGCCTATAGGAAGTGAAAGGAGGTCCAAGGTCAGAGTACCCCTATAGACAAATTATGTCATAACTTAACCAATCTTGTGGGTAACTAAGGAGCGATGACGTGTAATGAATCATAGAGGTTTATAGAGCTATCGTTTATGTTTCTAGGCCTCTAGTTGATAGAGATATGTCATGTGTAGTATTAGCCCAGTAACTAAGGAGTGATGTCATGTAATGAATCATAGAGGGTTGTAGAGATATGCTATGTGGTCATATCGGCCCAGTAACTAAGGAGCAATGACGTGTAATGAATCATAGAGGTAGCAATCGTTGAGTAGTATTGCTCTTGTTGTTGGTGTGATAAGCCAAAATATGTATAGTGACTTGTAGGTTTGAGGAGGAGATTTCTAAGTTTGCTCTTGAGTTTGATAGCAAACTGAGTGCAACAAATGTCAGTATGACATTAATGCTATCTATTCCAAAAAAGAAGAAGTTGTTAACGCTTTAACAAAGCTCCGCAAGCACATCTATGTGTTTAGGAATCATCGAGGGTGGAAGGATAGTGTTCGTTCTCATGCTATAGCCACTGGAATCAAGCCTGTTACTCTTGCAATTGATATGCCAGTACGATGGAACTAAACACAAAATGCATTGTCAATGGAGGCGCCAATCACGGCGCTTTGTGCATCACAGACTCTTGATATAAGCATGCGTGATATCCAGATTTCTTCGAAAGAATGGGAATTACTTCATGCTCTTGCATAGTTCTTTGAGATTTTTAAGCGTATCTCAGAAAAGGTGCAAGCAGATTGGTATCCAACACTTAACTACTGTGTTCCATATTATCTACGGCTAATGGATAAAATTAAGAAGATTAAGAAGACTGTTAAGCATACATGTATCAACAAAGCTTGTACTGCTGCATTCAACAAATTAGACGACTATTTCTCACTTGCAACAAGCCAATGGTCAAGCCATTCAACAGTTCCAACAATATGTGATCCTCGGTTTAATTTTAGTATATTTGACTTCTATTTGCCTGAAAGCTTTTAGAACACAAGCAAAGAACGAGCAAGAGCATAGTTTGCAGCTTGTTATAACAATTATAAAGCACGGGACAATGATATTCGAGCAGAGGAGAGGAAATGGATGCTATGTTTGATAACGAGGATGAGGATATACCTCAAGAAGTGGACTCTGAGGATGAGATGTT